TTCTCCACAGTGGAGAACTGACGAATTGAAGAATCCAGGAGATGGCGAAGAGATAGGCTTATGTACCGATGTATTTGGGCAATTCTCCTATTCCAGATCGCTAGGCGGCTGATACTTTTCCCATATCCTTCAGTTCTTCAACCCTCAGATCGATAAGCACACATTTCTCTTCGTGATTCCTTTACTTCTTCGATTCTTCGATTCGTCAACTCTTCATTTTCGCAAGGCATGAACACGGCCTAAGATCACTGAATTTAGTTTCTTCAACTCCCATATTCACGGCGAAAACGAGAGCGATTATTTCACAAGCTATGGGTTTATCTGGTAATCATCTGTGGTGTCTTGATTCTTATTTACTTCACTATTGGAGGCAGCGTTCACAGGGACAATGTAAGTTCCTTCACTGCTGATTCCGAATATTCATTAACAAATGTTCCGCTTTGAGGAGAACTGTACCCTCTTACTGACCACAAGGATGGGCCGAGTGTTAAGAAAGGTCTGATGGAACGAGCTTAGAAGGATGGCATCTCCAAATGTCGTTCCTAAGAAAAAGAAATCGTTAGCGAACCTTCTCAGTTTCTTGACGGCTCATCGAAGGTTCATGGACGATGTAGTCCGTGATCACCGGATGGGCGGGACTCGCAATTACAACTGCAGCTGCTACTTGCAGCCATTGTCTTTTCCTCATTGATTCGCGGGGCCTTTTAGCATGGCAATGGCGGAGGGGAACCAGTGAGTAAGGCACCATCGTTGTGAGCCTCCGCCCATCGATTGAAGCCAAATGTGGCTGCCCTTACGGTCAAGTAATGAAGCTTTTAGAAGCGCGCTTCATCTCAAAAGTTTAGCCCATCACATGAGTCCCTCTCCCTCTCTTCAAGCTGCGGCTGCCATTTGGCTAGGGCAATATCTCACAATCACTGCTGCTTCAATCGGTTCTATTACCAGATCGCTTTCGTGACGCGAGAAAATCTTCCAATACCCACGTTTATTTGTTCGTGGAACTGGAAGAAAGGACCTTTCTGGCCACAGATCCCGACCTTCCATCGGGCTCTGGGCGGAGAATGGTCAGCTACGTGTCTTCTGCGCTCCAACTTTTTGCATCCATAGGATTAGTGGCGTGGGTGAGGGACTTCTTCCTGAAATCGGAGAAGGGTACTCCACCAAGTTGATCAGCGGGTGAGCTGGGATAGATCTTGAAGGGTATTGTTTTACAAACAGTGTACAGTACCCTCCAAATTGCCCGTAAAATCGAATGTGTTGGTCCGGCCAACGCACAAAAGTGAGCACCCATAAGACGGCTCAGTTAGCCAAGGTCTACGTACATTTACCAGCTTCTGTTACACGCCTTCTGCACTTCTGGTTGATAACGTTTAATCATTGCCCCGGACTCTTCCGCGCGCTCGCGCGAAACAATCAGGGTTAATGATCAGACTTCTGAAGAAGCTCCGGGGTGAGGCCAGGAGATGGGAGCGATGCCACTCCGCTCTGCACTTGTAGCCGGATGCTGTCTATGTGCAAAGCTAGAGGTACCATGTGCACCCACTGGTCCCAGGCACTTAATTTTACGCACATTTTCCGTTTTGGATACTGTATTCAGCTTGTTTTATTATATTTACAATGCAATCTCGCTGGCCATGTCTATCAAAAATCTGCATGGATTGGCCACCTTGGACCTTTGCGAAGTTGTTCACTCAGTGTTCACTTGCGTCTTTGTTAATTTGCGCTTAGCTAAACTAAACGCAATTTTCACAGAAAAGGTGGCGCTAAGTTTTGAGCTTTTCATTTCAACTGCTTAATAAAATTCCTCTAAGGCTAGAATGGATTAGGCTCGAAGCGGAGATTTTTTCTCGCAAATTCGACAGACGCCGTTTCGGGCTGATGACGATGTCCCTTAAGACGTGGTGACTTCCCTGACCACTGGCAGGCGATATGCCGGAGAAAACAGTAAAGAATCGGAAGAATCTCTTCAGAGAAAAAGGAAGGATTGTCAAATGTCTCGAAGTTGGCTTTAAACGAACTCAAAATGATTGTAGGCAATATCTGGTGAAATCTGGGTCAGCGTACATGCCCAGTTCGGACTTGTATTGATAAAGATGCAGATGCTGATGCGATATTCTCTACGGGGTTGTATTTGAGACACAACCGAGTCACGGCTCACGTGCGAGCGTAGCGGCCATTCTAGCTGCTGCTGCCAGATTGGTGGTGGCTCGGTGCGTGTCACTCGGTGCAAATGACGCGCGTGTGCGACACTAACACGGATGTGTTGAACGGCATAGTTTTTCCTCAGGCCCTTTTTCTGCTAAACGGTTTTATTTGATCTCTTTTCAAGGTTCAAAATCGAAAAAAAAATTGAAGACGACACAATATAGGGCGGTAAAATTAGTTGATGAATAGAAAGTTCGCCCCCCCCCCCTCGCCTACTACAACCGATTCTCGGGCGAGAGAGAGAGGAATCATGCCTGTTAACTAACACTAGTACTACGTAGTAGCGACTAATAAACATGAGATTTTCTTCTTTTAGTATCACTACACAAACATTATTGTGCACTTTGATTTGAAAGGAGCCCCACCAAAAGTCGACTATTTTCTCGAGCTTCTGGAGTTGGTAGCGAAAACTGGAGCTACTGGTAAGTTACTTTAATAACTACTATTACTAAAAGGCAGTCCACTACTACTCGACCTGAATCCCTTCCTCGCATAAGGTAGTGCGATCTGCAATTTTAAAGAATATAACACGTTCAAAGCTCGAAGTGTTATGTAAGAACGCTAGAGGTTTGCTGCGATGGTCGGACTCCGCCCACCAAAGTTGCTCAAGTGATTCCGCCAAAGCATCAGCGACCCGGCACGCATTGGTATCTATTGTCATGCTCGCTGTTGTTCCTGTTCTAGCCCGGTCTCTAACCCAAATCTTTGCCTTTCGCTTGGAAGAAGGAGAGCCCTATTTGGGGCGCGAAACGTTTTTTTTTGCTTTTTCCCTTCGAGAGCCATCTAGCCCAACCTTTTCTGCTTTCCATAACGTTTTCAACAGCTTCCCAATGAATGTGCCCTTGGGTCATAGGCCTTTTCTGCCGATAACCATGGACCATGTCTTCTCAAAAAGACCTATCTTGGGTGGACGAGGACCCAGGTCATCCGCAGAGCTGATTGAAAAAACTTCGTGCATTTAAGGAATACTCATGGAATGGGAGGATATGTTTCCATGGTCGGGTGAGTTGGCAATAGTAAGAAGTACTAATGCCTACACCGATGAAGAAGTGCGAAAGATTCTTCAGAAAGCTAAGTAAGTGTTCAAGGTTCATTTCAGAGCCCACTTATCAGGAAAGTATATTAAAAATATAGGCGCAGTATATAACACTTGTGCTCTAAGGAGAGGAAAGTCGTGACGCTTATCTAATGCGACCTAAGGTGTCGGCTGGATCGTCGCCTTGCAAGGCCTGAATATTTCGTCAAGGATAAATTACGCCCTCACCCTATGAAGGGCGTCGCCGACTCTGGCGTTCGGACGTTGTGCCCATCGAGAAGACCCAGTACCGGGAAGGTACCTTTTACCTACCGTTCAGGCTTTAATGCAGCAGCAGTCACGATGACTTGTTGTTCGGGATCCATGGGCCATTCCGCTGTTGCGAAGGACATACATATACGATCCCTCTTCAGAGTTTCCTTGTCTGGAACGACGACCCCTTCCCCATTTCCCATCCCACTACCATCTGTTCCTATATTCTTCCAACTTTCTACCGTTCTTCTGGAGGGAGCTCTCCTTTTTCCCCGAAAGACTACCGCCGAGTGGTCGAAGAGGGGGTGTAGTGACTTGTAAACAGGAAAATCCAAGCCGACGGAAGCCAGCAACCGAAAACTGAAAACTTTGAGGCCGGGCAATCGCGATTCGCCACGCTGGGGGCGTGGCTAGCAGCGTCGCCTCCGCATACGGCAGCTGAATAGCTCGCAGCCACACATTAGGTGTTCTAATTCAATATTTCACTGGTAGCGTTCTTGAACAGAATAGGTCATAAGCTAGGGATGTTAGCTTCTTTATCGTTGTGGACCACGTTTTGAATGGAAGTGTGCACTGTCGCACGACACACCGCTCGCGACGGCGCGGCAAATCACAATTGTCTTGACCTTCTCCCCACCACCTTTGCCCCAGTCACTCTCGAATCACAATCAACTTTTAGATACAGCATTGTCATATAGGCGACTATGAGCTTGTATTCTTCAGAGATTTGAAGCTTGAAGTGATTCCGTTGGTGCAGACGTTCGGCCATATGGAATGGATTTTGAAATATGAGGAATTCCGGATGTATCGTGATGATGTTCTCTATCCACAGGTATGTGGTGGTAAGATTCAAGAGAGAATGCCGTGGAGGCATGGTTAGCAAGCAGGATGGTAGTTC